CCTGTTCCCAAGGCCTGGATCCTGTTCCCGAAGCTTGGATCCTGTTCCCATGGCCTGGATCCTGTTCCCAAAGCCTGGATCTTGTTCCCAAGGCCTGGATCCCGTTCCCAAGGCCTGGATCCTCTTCCCAAGGCCTGGATCCTCTTCCCAAGGCCTGGATCCTGTTCCCAAATCCTGGATCCTGTTCCCAAGGCCTGGATCCTGTTCCCATGACCTGGATCCCATTCCCAAGGCCTGGATCCTGTTCCCAAGGCCTGGATCCTGTTCCCAATGGATGACTCCTGTTCCCAAGGCCTGGATCCTGTTCCCAAGGCCTGGATCCTGTTCCCAATGGATGACTCCTGTTCCCAAGGCCTGGATCCTGTTCTTAAAGCCTGCTTCCTGTTCCCAAGGCCTGGATCCTGTTCCCAAAGCCTGGATCCCGTTCTTAAAGCCTGGATCTTGTTCCCAAAGCCCGGATCCTGTTCCCAAAGCCTGGATCCTGTTCCCAAAGCCTGGATCCTGTTCCCAAGGCCTGGATCCTGTTCCCAAGGCCTGGATCCACATTCCCATGGCCTGGATCCTTTCCCAAGGCCTGGATCCACATTCCCATGGCCTGGATCCTTTCCCAAGGCCTGGATCCTGTTCCCAAGGCCTGGATCCACATTCCCATGGCCTGGATCCCGTTCCCAAGGCCTGGATCCTGTTCCCAAGGCCTGGATCCACATTCCCATGGCCTGGATCTCGTTCCCAAGGCCTGGATCCCACATCCTGATCCCAGGAAGGGCCGGAGCCGCTTTGCCCACGGAATCAAAGATTATTCCATGGAAAACACGACCGAGGAGGGCAAGCTGGAGGAATTTGGCTTGTTTAGGAAGGGGTGGAGCAACGGGAAAGACGGGATAACGCTCCGGGATACACCCTCCCACCTCCCAGGCCTGTGTGGAGGGAAAAACGGGAAGAACACGGAGCCATTCCCAACGGGAAGAACACGGAGCCGTTCCTGGGATGTTTTTTGGGATGGAAAGAGCCTGAGGAGGAGGAGGAGGAGGAGGAGGGGGGGAGAATTCCCAGTTTCCCCAGGGATTGCCCCAAGGCTGGATCCTTTCCCGGTCACCGGTTGTTGTTTTCCCCTCAGAAATTCGGGAATGAGCCTCATCCCTCCTTCCAGGAGGGAATCCCATGAGGAATATCATCATATTTTCCATTCCAGGAGGGATAATCCCACAGGAAAGGTTCAAACCAGTCACTGGTTGTTGTTTTCCCCTCAGAAATTTGGGAATGAGCCTCATTCCTCTTCCAAGAGGGAATTCCATGAGGAATATCAGCATAACCTCCCTTCCAGGAGGGATAATTCCATAGGAAAGGTCCTGCTGGGATGATCCAAACCTGCCCCTGGTTGTTGTTTGCCCCTCAGAAATTCGGGAATGAGCCTCATCCCTCCTTCCTGGAGGGAATCCTGGAACGCAATCCCACAGATCCGACCCCAAATCCCACCGAATCCCGCCGGATCCGGGGCCTGTGCCCGGCTCCTGGATCCATAAACAGCCCGTACCCTCGGGAGCCTCTGGAATAACGAGGCCTGGAATGTTTGTTTCCGGACGTTCCCGCTCCGTTGCCAAGGTTTTCCCGGCTCCGGACTCTGGGAGCCGTGGCAATGATTAACATTCCCGGGAGCACATTCCAGGGAGGGGGGGGGTGGATCCGTGTCCTTCCTGCCTTTGGACCAACCAGCTCTTTGCATCCCAGGAAAGGAGGAAAACCGGGAAAAGGTTCCTCCTGCTTTTCTTTGTCCCACGGCAGGGGACGAACCCCAGGCCACACCCCCCAAACACATGGAAAATCCGGGATCTGGGGGCTTTTCCAAGCTGTTTTCCAAGCTCTCCGTGTGACAACGCTCCCAAAATATCCCCAAACATCCCAAAATATCCCCAAACATCCCAAAAATATCCCCTTTTCCCTCTCCTATTTCGGCCGGGAGCAGCTGGAGGTGTCCCGAGAGCTGAGCCGGAGCATCCCAAATTCCCAGAGAATCCTAAATTCCCAGAGCATCCCAAATTCCCAGAGCATCCCAAATTCCCAGAGCACCTTCCCACGGAGTCCAGACCGTTCTGGAGCAGAGCAGATGCTTCCAGAGGGATTTTCCCTGCACAGCTTTCCCGCTTCCAGCTTTTTTTTTTTCTCCCCCCTGGAAAGGCTCAGTTGGGTCAACAGGAATGCCGGGAACACCGGTGGGAGGAAAGGGATGGAATTCCCGGATTTGGGGAATAAAAGCAACCCCCCAGGCTGCTCCAGGCGGGGGATTCCCAGGAAATATGAAGGATCTGCTGGACAGGGATGGGTGTCCCCCCTCCTCCCCCCCTGGGAGGCTCATCCTTAAGGTCATCCCAAAAAATTGGCTCTTCCAGGGAAAGCTGGGAGACGGGCCCGGGGGAAGAATCCCGGGGTTTTTTCCCTCCTGGGAAAGCTCCCGAGGGATTTGGGAGCCCATTCCATCTCCCAACAGCCCCTTTGGGCCCATTTGGGGGCATTTTTGGGATCCAGAGGGAATTCTGGCCCGAGCAGGAGCGGGAATCGAGGGAGACCCCGGGGCTCGGCTTCCCACTGGGAATGTCGGAATTCCAGGGGGTTCCCGGGGATGGATCCGTGTTTGTGGAGCCGGCTCTGGAGCGGGGGGTGCTCCCGACTCGGGATATTGGGGTGGGAAGGTGATGATCCTCAAGGTGCCCTTTCCCAGCCAACCCATCCCAGGGATTTTGGGGATGCGCCTGATCCCGAGAAACCCCGGGATGGGCTCCCGGGATCCGGATCCAACCTGGATCTGGGATCAGGGACAGGGATGGGAATGGAGGTCCTGGGATGGGGATGGAGCTCCTGGGATGGGGATGGAGCTCCTGGGATGGGAATGGGGATCACCTGGATGGACAGGAGGGATGGGAACACTGGTGGGAGGAAAGGGATGGAATTCCCTGATTTAGGGAATGAAACAATCCCAGGACGAGTTCAGAGGATCCGGATCCAACCCGGCTCTGGGATCAGGGACAGGGACGGGGATGGAGCTCCTGGGAACTCCTGGAAATTCCAAAGGGGGATGATCCACCACCACTCCTGTCTGGGGCTTCCCTGAGCTCCGTCCCCGTCCCTGTGCCCTGATCCCAACAAACACCAGGATCAGCTCGCAGGATCCGGATACAACCCAGCTGTAGGATCCCCAGAAAGTCAGGGATGGAGCTCCTGGGACAGGGATGGAGCTCCTGGGACAGGGATGGAGCTCCAGAGACAGGGATGGAGCTCCCGGGACAGGGATGGAGCTCCCGGGACAGGGATGGAGCTCCAGAGACAGGGATGGAGCTCCCGGGACAGGGATGGAGCTCCTGGGACAGGGATGGAGCTCCTGGGACAGGGATGGAGCTCCCGGGACAGGGATGGAGCTCCTGGGACAGGGATGGATCCCCATAAATCCAGGGATGGAGCTCCTGGGACAGGGATGGATCCCCATAAATCCAGGGATGGAGCTCCTGGGACAGGGATGGATCCCCGTAAAGCCAGGGATGGATTCCAATAAATCCAGGGATGGATCCCTACAAAGCCAGGGATGGATCCCCATAAATCCAGAGATGGATTCCCATAAAGCCAGGGATGGATCCCCACAAAGCCAGGGATGGATCCCCAGAAAGCCAGGGGTGGGTTCCCATAAATCCAGGGACGGATCTCCATAAATCCAAGGATGGATCCCCATAAAGCCAGGGATGGATCCCCATAAATCCAAGGATGGATCCCCACAAAGCCAGGGATGGATCCCCAGAAATCCAGGGACGGATCTCCATAAATCCAAGGATGGATCCCCACAAAGCCAGGGATGGATCCCCAGAAAGCCAGGGATGGATCCCCAGAAATCCAGGGATGGATCCCCACAAAGTCAGGGATGGATCCCCATAAAATCAGGGATGGAGCTCAGACGACAGGGATGGATCCCCATAAATCCAGGGATGGATCCCCATAAATCCAGGGACGGATCCCCATAAAATCAGGGATGGATCCCCACAAATCTAGGGATGGAGCTCCAGGGACAGGGATGGATCCCCATAAATCCAGGGATGGGTCCCCATAAATCCAGGGGTGGATTCCCATAAATCCAGGGATGTATCCCCACAAAGCCAGGGGTGGATCCCCACAAACCCAGGGGTGCATCCCCACAAACCCAAGGCCCAAATCCCCACAAACTCAGCCGCGAATCCCCCCCGGCACCTCCCACCCCCCTCCCTCCTCCTCCCCCTCCTCCTCCCGTTCCATCCCACCTCCCATTATTCCCCCCCCCACTAAATTATTTTCCATACCTGCCTCCCCAGGTCCCCGCCCCGCTCCAGGGAGCTCAGGGAATTGCGTCGCCGCTGCTGCTGGGCCACAGCCACGCCGAGCACGAGGGTGTGGAGGCCGCAGGAGGCGGCGGCCACGGCCACGATGGGCAGGAGGCGCAGGGGCAGCGTCAGGAAGAAGGAGAAGACGAAGAAGGCCTGCCAGCCCACCGTGTCCGCCGGCTCCGGGGCGCTCCCGAAATTCAGCGCCAGGTAGCCCAGGACCTGCGGGGGAGGGGATCCGTCGTTATTCGGGATCGCGGGATGGGCGGGGGCGGAAAAGGGCTCCGAGGTGGTGGAGTCGGATCCGACCCCGCCGCGGTTCCCGGCCCGTGTGGCGCTGGTGCCACGTCCAAGGTCGTCCTAAAAATTTAGGCCCTGTTTTCCTGCAGGAATCCCAGAATCAGCCGGGTTGGAAAAGAGCTCCGGGATCGCGGATCCGACCCTGGATCCAACCCCAGCCCACGGCACTGATGCCACATCCAAGCTCATCCCAAAAACCTCCAGGGAAGTGACTCCACCCCCTCCCTGGGCGGCCCATTCCAAGGGCTGATCCCGATCCATGGAAAGAATTCCTTCCTGATATCCAACCTGTCCGAACATCCTAAATCCTCTCCCAATCCCTTCCTTTCCAACTCTTTCTGGAGCCAAAATTAAACCGGACTTGAATTCCACTTAGACCCTGTTTTCCTGCAGGAATCCCAGAATCCCAGAATTAGCTGGGTTGGAAAAGAGCTCCGAGATCGTGGAGTCCAACCCTGGATCTGACCCCGCCGTGGTTCCCAGCCACTGATGCCACATCCGACCTCATCCTAAAAATTTAGGCCCTGTTTTCCTGCAGGAATCCCAGAATCCCAGAATTAGCTGGGTTGGAAAAGAGCTCCGAGGTCGCGGAGTCAATCCTTGGATCCGACCCCGCCGTGGTTCCCGGCCCGTGGCGCTGATGCCACATCCAAGCTCATCCTAAAAACTTAGATCCTGTTTTCCTGCAGGAATCATGGAATCACGGAATCCCAGAATCAGCCGGGTTGGAAAAGAGCTCCAGGACTGTGGAGTCAAACCCTGGATCCGACCCCAGCCCATGGCACTGATGCCACATCCAAGTTCATCCTAAAATTTTAGACTCTGTTTTCCTGCAGGAATCCCAGAATCCCGGAATCAGCTTGGTTGGAAAAGAGCTCCGGGATCGCGGATCCGACCCTGGATCCAACCCCGGCCTGTGGCACTGATGCCACATCCAACCTCATCCCGAGAACCTCCAGGGAAGTGACTCCACCCCCTCCCTGGGCGGCCCATTCCAAGGGCTGATCCCGATCCATGGAAAGAATTCCTTCCCGATATCCAACCGGAATCTCCCCCTGGAGGCCGAGCCCTCCTGTCCTGCTGCTGCTTCCTGGGAGAAGGGAACAACTGGGAGGTGGGAAGAGTTGGGATGGGGGAGAGGAGGGGGAATAGTTGGGATGTGGGTTGGGAAGGGGAATAGTTGGGATGTGGGATAGGAAGAGGAATAATTTGGAATGTGGGATGGGAGGGGGAATAACTGGGATGTGGGAGAGGAGAAGGAATAGTTGGGATGTGAGTTGGGAAGGGGAATAATTGGGATGTGGGATAGGAGGAGGAATCGTTGGGATGTGGGAGAGGAGGGGGAATAATTTGGAATGTGGGCTTGGAGGGGGAATAAGTTGGGACGTGGGTCAGGAGGAGGAATAGTTGGGATGTGGGAGAGGAGAGGGAATAGTTGGGATGTGGGTTGGGAAGGGGGAATAACTGGGATGTGGGAGAGGAGGGGGAATAATTGGGATGTGGGTTGGGAAGGGGAATAATTGGGATGTGGGAGAGGAAGGGGAATAGTTGGGATGTGGGATAGGAGTGGGAATTCCCATCCTTCCCAATATCCCACCTGCCCCTCCCCTGGCCCAGCTGGAGGCCGAGCCCTCTCCTCCTGTCCCTCATTCCCTGGGAACTGGGGACCCCTCCCGGCTCCCCCCTCCTGGCAGGGAGTTGTGGGGCGGGAAAAGGTCCCTCCTGATCCCTCTTTTCCCTGGGATGAGCCCCTTCCCAGCTCCCTCAGCCTCTCCTCGCGGGAATTGTGCTCCAGTCCCTTCCCTGGCCCTGCTCCAGCCCCTCCATGTCCTTCCCGAACATCCCAAACCCTCTCCCAACCCCCTTCCTTTCCGACTCTGCGAACGCTCTGGAGCTGGGATGGAGCTCCAGGACAGGGATGGAGCTCCAGGACAGGGATGGAGCTCCAAGAACAGGGATGGAGCTCCAGGAACAGGGATGGAGCTCCTGGAACAGGGATGGAGCTCTGGGAACAGGGATGGAGCTCCAGGACAGGGATGGAGCTCCAGGGACAGGGATGGAGCTCCAGGAAAGGGATGGAGCTCCAGGACAGGGATGGAGCTCTGGGAACAGGGATGGAGCTCCTGGAACAGGGATGGAGCTCCTGGGACAGGGATGGAGTTCCAGGAACAGGGATGGAGTTCCGGGAACAGGGATGGAGTTCCGGGAACAGGGATGGATCCCCATAAAGTTAGGAATGGAGCTCTGGGGACAGGGATTGATCCCAAAAAAGTCAGGGATGGAGCTCTGGGGACAGGGATGGAACTTTAGGAACAGGGATGGAGCTCCAGGGACAGGGATTGATCCCCATAAAATCAGGGATGGAGCTCCGGGGACAGGAATTCCCATAAAGTCAGGGATGGAGCTCTGGGGTCAGGGATGGAACTTTAGGAACAGGGATGGAACTTTAGGAACAGGGATGGAGCTCCAGGGACAGGGATTGATTCCCATAAAATCAGGGATGGAGCTCTGGGGACAGGGATTCCCATAAAGCCAAAGGATGGAGCTCCAGGGACAGGGATGGATCCTCATAAAGCCAGGGATGGAGCTCTGGAGCTCTGGGGACAGGGATGGAGCTCCAGGACAGGGATGGATCCCCATAAACCCAGGGATGGAGCTCTGGGGACAGGGATGGAGCTCCAGGACAGGGATTGATTCCCATAAAATCAGGGATGGAGCTCCGGGGACAGGAATTCCCATGAAGCCAGGGATGGATCTCAGAGGACAGGGATGGAGCTCCAGGGACAGGGATGGAGCTCCAGGGACAGGGATCGATCCCCATAAAGTCGGGGACAGAGCTCCGAGGACAAAAGGGGGACGGATTTCTTACAATTATCATAATTAAAAAAAAAAAAAACCCCACCCATCCCACATTTTTCCTTTCCCCTACCTGCGCCGGGATGAGGATCCAGAGGATTCCGGGCAGGAAGCGGCGGGAGAAACGCTCCGGGAGCAGGCGGCACTTCCAGAGGGCCAGCAGGGCCACGTGGGCCACCAGGAACGCCGCCGCCGGCACCAGGACGGGCGGGAATTCCCTCCCATCCCGCCCCAGATCCACGGAAGCGGTGGCCAGGACGTAGGCGTCGAAGAGGGCGGCGAAGACGGCGAGCACCAGGAGGGTGTCGTGGCGCTGCCGGCGGAAATAGGCCTGGTAGAGGTTTTCCAGGGATTCCGGGGCGAAGGAGAGGCGGGCGGAGCGCGGGAGGCAGGGGCAGGGAGGGGAGATCCGGAAGGTTCCGCGGCGGGAGGAGCCGGAGGCGCCGCCGGCGCGTTCGGGATCCGAGGGGAGGCTGGCGGAGTAGTCGGCGGAATAGTCGGCGGAGAATTCCGGCTCGGAGAATCCGCCGTTCCTGGGCATGTTGGGGGGGGATGGGGGGGGGGAGGGAAAGGGGGGGGGGTGTTGTGGTTTTGTTTTCCCGGTTGGAATAAGGCGGGATGGCGGGTCAGGGAGGGGTCACTCGAGGAGGCATCGCCGGCTCAGCGGGAATTCCCGGTTTTCCCAGGGAATGGGGGACGGGAGGCTGGGAGAGCGGGGGGATTCCAGGGCGATTCCCAGGCTAATTCCGGGCTGATTCCAAGTTGATTCCCAGGCTGATTCCAAGTTGATTCCCAGGCTAATTCCGGGCTGATTCCAAGTTGATTCCCAGGCTGATTCCAAGTTGATTCCCAGGCTGATTCCCAGGCTCTTTCCCAGGTTGATTCTAAGTTGATTCCAGGTTCATTCCAAGTTGATTCCCAGGCTGATTCTAGGCTGATCCCAGGTTAATTCCAGGTTAATTCCAAGTTGATTCCCAGGCTGATTCCCAGGCTAATTCCAGGCTAATTCCAAGCTGATTCCCAGGCTAATTCCAAGTTGATTCCCAGGCTCTTTCCCAGGTTAATTCTAAGTTGATTCCAGGTTCATTCCAAGTTGATTCCCAGGCTGGTTCTAGGCTGATCCCAGGTTAATTCCAGGCTAATTCCAAGTTGATTCCCAGGCTGATTCCCAGGCTAATTCCAAGTTGATTCCAAGTTGATTCCCAGGCTGATTCCAAGTTGATTCCCAGGCTGATTCCCAGGCTAATTCCAGGTTGATTCCCAAGCTGCTTCCCAGGTCACTTCCCAGGCTAATTCCAGGCTAATTCCAAGTAGATTCCCAGGCTGTTTCCCAGGTTGATTCCCAGGCTGATTCCCAGGTTAATTCCACGCTGATTCCAGGCTGATTCCCAGGTCACTTCCCAGGCTGATTCCAGGCTAATTCCAGGTTGATTCCCAGCCTGCTTCCCAGGCTAATTCCAGGTTGATTCCCAGCTCACTTCCCAGGCTGCTCCCAGGCTGCTTCCCAGCCTGATTCCCGGGCTGATTCCCAGCTCGCTTCCCAACCTGCTTCCCAGCTCCCCGGGAAGCTCCACAGGCCTTCCCAGCAGTCCCAGGGAAAGGGGGAGAGGGATAATCGCGGCTGCAGCGCGGGCTGGGATGCCGGGCTGATTCCCAGGCTAATTCCAAGCTAATTCCAGGCTGATTCCCAGCCCGCTTCCCAGGTTACTTCCCAGTCCACTTCCCGGCTCACCGAGGCCTTCCCGGTTCTCCAGGGCAGCGGGAAAGGGATAATCGTGGATGCGGCGCGGCGGGAGAGGCTCCTTCTTCCCGGGCTGATTCCCGGGCTGATTCCCAGCTCACTTCCCAGGCTACTTCCAGGCTGCTTCCCGAGCTGCTTCCCGGGCTGATTCCCAGCTCCCAGCCGGCTTCTCACGCCGCTTCCCGAGCTGCTTTCCCGGTCTCTTCCCAAAGCTCCTTCCCGGCCGCTTCCCAAAGCTCCTTCCCGGCCGCTTTTCCCGGCCTTGAATCCCAGCTTCCCGGCCGGTTTTCCCGGCCTTTCGCGCAGCGCCGGGATGCTCCCGGAGCTCCGGGAGATGTCGCGATGCCTCCCCTCCTCTGCTCCTCCTCGGCCCTTTTTCCCGACACGCCTCGTTTTTTGTTTCCCACCCCTCGGGATGCGGGGTTGGAAATAAAAACAAAACAAACGGGGGATGCGCGATCCCGGAAAAAAAGAAAAAACCCAGGGATGCGATCCCGGAGCCCCCGCCGGGATCAGCGAGGATTCATCCCGCATCCTCCCCTGGATCCTTCCCTCGGGATGTGGAGCGGGAAAAGGGGGGTTTTTCCCGGCGTTTTGGGGGCGGGAATTCGCGCCCCGCCTCCCCGTAACCCTTTGGCTGCCGGAGATTCCAGGATTCCCGAGGATCCGGGAGAGCGGGAAAAGCCGCTTTCCCGGCTGGATTTGGAGGAGCGGGAGACTCGGGGAGGGATGCGCGTCTTGGATGAGCTGGCGGGGGGCTCCGTAAATCCCAAAATCCCGGAGTGGGGCGGGAAGGGAAGGTTTGGGGAGGTTTGGGAAGGGAAGGTTTGGGAAGGGAAGGGAATAAAATCATGGATAAAGCAGGAGGGAAAAGGGGTCTGCTGGAAGTGGGAGAGGGGACGGGAGTGAAACCGGCGGCGAATCCACGGGGATTTGGGGGGTTCCCTGGGAATGGGGGAAAGCAGCCGTCGGAATTCCAGAGGGGTTTGGGTGGGAAGGGAACTTAAATCCCATCCCATTCCATGTTCAGGGACACCTCCCGCTATCCCAGGTGGCTCCAGCTTTTCCTTGGACACTCCCAGGGATCCAGGGGCAGCCACAGCTTCTCTGGGAATTCCAGCCCAGCCCCTCCCCACCCTCCCAGCCAGGAATCCCTTCCCGATCTCTCTCCTCTTCCCTGCATTCCCACCGCTCCTCCAGCCCCTCTGGATGCGGAAAACCGGGATGCAGGAGCCCCCCAACCCCTGGGATAACCCCCCTCGGCCCCCCAGAGGCACCACATTCCCGGGAATCCTCATCCCAGGGCCGCTTTTCCAGGGATTTCATTATTCCTGCGCCGGAATTAACCCCGGAATTCCCGGCTCCTGGATTTGTCTTTTCCCTGGATTTGTCTTTCCAGGGGCGGCAGGTCGGGAATCTTCCGGGAATCTCCTGCCGGCTCCGGAGCGCCGGGAAGCGCAGCCAGGGAGGGTTTTCCATCCCAGGGATCCTCGGAGGCGGCTCCTGGAGGTGGCTCTGCATTCCAAGCCTCTGGAATTGCCGATCCCACATTCCCATCCCAAGCCTCTGGAATCCCCGATCCCACATTCCCACCCCAAGCCTCTGGAATTCCTGATCTCAAGCCTCTGGAATTCCAGATGCCACATTCCCATCCCATTCCAAGCCTCTGGAATCCTGGATCCCATCCAGGCTCCCCCTCATTCCCATCCCAAGCCTCTGGAATCCCAGATCCCATCCAGGTTCCAACACATTCCCATTCCAAGCCTCTGGATTCCCTGATCCCACATTCCCATTCCATCCCAAGCCTCTGGAATTCCCAATCCCACATTCCCATCCCAAGCCTCTGGAATTCCCCATCCCACATTCCCATCCCAAGCCTCTGGAATCCCAGATCCCACATTCCCATCCCAAGCCTCTGGAATTCCTGATCCCACATTCCCATCCCATCCCAAGCCTCTGGAATTCCCCATCCCGCATTCCCATCCCAAACCTCTGGAATCCTGGATCCCACATTCCCACCTTAAGCCTCTGGATTCCATGATCCCACATTCCCATCCCATCCCAAGCCTCTGGAATTCCCGATCCCACATTCCCATCCCAAGCCTCTGGAATTCCCGATCCCACATTCCCATTCCAAGCCTCTGGAATCGCTGATCCCACATTCCCATCCCAAACCTCTGGAATCCTGGATCCCACATTCCCATCCCAAGCCTCTGGAATCCCTGATCCCACATTCCCATCCCATCCCAAGCCTCTGGAATCCTGGATCCCATCCAGGCTCCCCCTCATTCCCATCCCAAGCCTCTGGATCCCCTGATCCCACATTCCCATCCCAAGCCTCTGGAATCCCCGATCCCACATTCCCATCCCAAGCCTCTGGAATCTCTGATCCCAAGCCTCTGGAATGCCGGATCCCATCCAGGCTCCCACACATTCCCACCCTATCCCAAGCCTCTGGAATTCCTGATCCCACATTCCCATCCCATCCCAAGCCTCTGGAATTCCCGATCCCACATTCCCATCCCAAGCCTCTGGATCCCCTGATCCCACATTCCCATCCCAAGCCTCTGGAATCCTTGATCCCACATTCCCACCCCAAGCCTCTGGAATCCCTGATCCCACATTCCCATCCCATCCCAAGCCTCTGGAATTCCCCATCCCACATTCCCATCCCAAGCCGCTGGAATCTCCAATCCCACATTCCCATCCCAAACCTCTGGAATTCCCGATCCCACATTCCCATTCCATCCCAAGCCTCTGGAATTCCCGATCCCACATTCCCGCCCCCGGGGCTGCTCCAACCCCTTTCCCAGCTCCTGCTCCTGGCAGTGATTCCCAAATTTCCCCCTCCCCCTTGTCCGGCTCCAAGCCGGGAGCGGGAATGAAACCACGGACACATCCCGGGGCTCTCCCGTTATTCCCAACGGGATTTAATGGAGAAAAATCCACCCCCACCCTCGGGAATCCCGGGAAGCGAAAAGCGCGGGATCAGCTCCGAACGATCCAGGAAAAAGGCAGGAAAACCCCCCCGAAAATTCCCAGGAAACCCCCCCCCCCCCAAATTCCCAGGAGAAGCAGCAGGAATGGGAGAAGCCTCCAAACCATTCCCAAGGCCGGGGAATCTCGGAATTCCGGGAATTGCAGCACCTGGAAAACGGGATCATCCGCCTTCCTCTGGGGGAAAACGGGCAACGGAAAAGGGAATTCTGGAGCCGGAATTTAGGATGGGGGGGGGGAGTTTTCCAGGGAATTGGGCGGGAAGGAGATCCCAGCGGGGTCACCTGCCAGAATTCCAAGCCCTGGCGGATCCCAATCCGTGTTTTTATCCAGCTGGGAGAGGGAAAACGGGAGTTAATTCCAAGGGAAAACGGGATTCGTGTCGATCTTAAAATTCGGGAAGCGACAATTCCCTCGGGATATTCCCGAACTAGAGGAGGGAAAAGGCTCTTCCCAGCTGGAAAAGTTATTCCTTCTTCCCAGAAAACAAAGGAAGAGCGAAAGGATCCCATTCCTGAAAAAAAATCTGGGATTAATCCATGATTTTGAAGGATTTTGAGAGGGAAAACGGGAGTTAATTCCAAGGGAAAATTCCCTTGGGATATTCCCAAAGGGGAGTAGGGAAAAGGCTCTTCCCAGTTATTCCTTCTTCCCAGAAAAAGAAGGAAGAGCGAAAGGATCCCATTCCCCCAAAAAATCCGGGATTAATCCATGATTTTGAGAGGGAAAACGGGAGTTAATTCCAAGAGAAAACGGGATTTGTGTCGATCTTAAAATTCGGGAAGCGACAATTCCCTCGGGATATTCCCGAACTAGAGAAAGGAAAAGGTTCTTCCCAGCTGGAAAAATTATTCCTTCTTCCCAGAAAAAGAAGGAAGAGCGAAAGGATCCCATTCCCCAAAAAAATCCGGGATTAATCCATGATTTTGAGAGGGAAAACGGGAGTTAATTCCAAGGGAAAACGGGATTTGTGTCGATCTTAAAATTCGGGAAGCGACAATTCCCTCGGGATATTCCCAAACTAGAGAAGGGAAAAGGCTCTTCCCAGTTATTCCTTCTTCCCAGAAAACGAAGGAAGAACGAAAGGATCCCATTCCTGAAAAAAAATCTGGGATTAATCCATGATTTTGAAGGATTTTGAGAGGGAAAACGGGAGTTAATTCCAAGGGAAAATTCCCTCGGGATATTCCCAAAGGGGAGCAGGGAAAAGGCTCTTCCCAGTTATTCCTTCTTCCCAGAAAAAGAAGGAAGAGCGAAAGGATCCCATTCCCAACAAAAATCCAGGATTAATCCATGATTTTGAAGGATTTTGAGAGGGAAAACGGGAGTTAATTCCAAGGGAAAACGGGATTTGTGTCGATCTTAAAATTCGGGAAGCGACAATTCCCTCGGGATATTCCCGAACTAGAGGAGGGAAAAGGCTCTTCCCAGCTGGAAAAGTTATTCCTTCTTCCCAGAAAACAAAGGAAGAACGAAAGGATCCCATTCCTGAAAAAAAATCTGGGATTAATCCATGATTTTGAAGGATTTTGAGAGGGAAAATGGGAGTTAATTCCAAGGGAAGATTCCCTCGGGATATTCCCAAAGGGGAGTAGGGAAAAGGCTCTTCCCAGTTATTCCTTCTTCCCAGAAAACGAAGGAAGAGCGAAAGGATCCCCCCAAAAAAATCCAGGATTAATCCATGATTTTGAGAGGGAAAACAGGAGTTAATTCCAAGAGAAAACGGGATTTGTGTCGATCTTAAAATTCGGGAAGCAACAATTCCCTCGGGATATTCCCGAACTAGAGAAAGGAAAAGGTTCTTCCCAGCTGGAAAAATTATTCCTTCTTCCCAGAAAAAGAAGGAAGAGTGAAAGGATCCCATTCCCCAAAAAAATCCAGGATTAATCCATGATTTTGAGGGGAAAAAGTTGCCCAAGAAGGAAGAGTGAAAGGATCCCATTCCCCAAAAAAATCCAGGATTAATCCATGATTTTGAGGGGAAAAAGTTGCCCAAGAGGGAAAAAATTCCCGAATATCGGCAGGAAATCCGCATTCCAAGAGGGATGGGAGCCCGATCCCGGCTCAGGAAAAGCGGGAATGATGTTCCCGGAGCGGCTTTTCCCGCCGGGAATCTTCCTGGATGCGGGAAGGGAGCGGCTTTTCCCGGGATAATGAACATTCCCGGGGGGGTTTGTGTCGCTCCCAAGGGTTGGGATAACCCGGGAATGGAATCCCGGGGATTCCTCGTCCCTCTGGATGCAGGAAGGGGAATATTCCAGGTCATGGCTGGGAATGACACGGCCGGGAAGGTGGGAATGTCCCTGCTTCCAGTGGCTCCTTCCCAGCTCATTCCCAAATATCTGGGAAGGTGGGAATGTCCCTGCTCCAAGTGGCTCCTTCCCATCCCATCCCAAACATCCAGGAATTGGGAATGTCCCTGATCCCAGTGTTTACACCCCCGGAGCCAGGATCCAGGGATGCTCCAGGATCCCTCTTCCCAGAGTTTACACCCCTGGAGCCATGGATACAGGGATGCTCCGGGATCCATCTTCCCAGCTCATCCCAAATATCTGGGAAGGTGGGAATGTTCCGGCTCCCAGTGGCTCCTTCCCATCCCATCCCATCCCATCCCAAATATTTGGGAAGGTGGGAATGTTCCGGCTCCCAGTGGCTCCTTCCCATCCCATCCCATCCCATCCCATCCCATCCCATCCCATCCCATCCCAAATATCTGGGAAGGTGGGAATGTTCCTGCTCCCAGTGGCTCCTTCCCATCCCATCCCAAACATCCAGGAATTGGGAATGTCCCTGCTCCCAGTGGCTCCTTCCCTTCCCATCCCAAACATCCAGGAAGGTGGGAATTTCCCTCTTCCCAGTGTTTGCACCAACCCCACCTGGAGCATCCTCAGCATTCCCATCCCAAACATCCAGGAAAGTGGGAATGTCCCTGATCCCAGTGGCTCCTTCCCAGCTCATCCCAAATATCTGGGAAGGTGGGAATGTCCCTGATCCCAGTGTTTACACCCCTGAGCCAGGATCCAGGGATGCTCCAGGATCCCTCTTCCCAGAGTTTACACCCCTGGAGCCATGGATACAGGGATGCTCCGGGATCCATCTTCTCTTCCCAGCTCATTCCCAAATATCTGGGACGGTGGGAATGTCCCTGCTCCAAGTGGCTCCTTCCCATCCCATCCCAAATATCTGGGAAGGTGGGAATGTCCCTGCTCCAAGTGGCTCCTTCCCATCCCATCCCAAATATTTGGGAAGCTGGGAATGTTCCTGCTCCCAGTGGCTCCTTCCCATCCCATCCCAAACATCCAGGAATTGGGAATTTCCCTCTTCCCAGTGTTTGCACCAACCCCACCTGGAGCATCCTCAGCATTCCCATCCCAAACATCCAGGAAAGTGGGAATTTCCCTGATCCCAGTGGCTCCTTCCCAGCTCATCCCAAATATCTGGGAAGGTGGGAATGTCCCTGATCCCAGTGTTTACACCCCCGGAGCCAGGATCCAGGGATGCTCCAGGATCCCTCTTCCCAGTGTTTACACTCCTGGAGCCATGGATACAGGGATGCTCCGGGATCCATCTTCTCTTCCCAGCTCATTCCCAAATATCTGGGAAAGTGGGAATGTCCCTGCTTCCAGTGGCTCCTTCCCATCCCATCCCAAATATCTGGGAAGGTGGGAATGTCCCTGATCCCAGTGGCTCCTTCCCATCCCATCCCAAATATTTGGGAAGGTGGGAATGTCCCTGATCCCAGTGGCTCCTTCCCATCCCAAACATCCAGGAATTGGGAATGTCCCTGATCCCAGTGTTTACACCCCCGGAGCCAGGATCCAGGGATGCTCCAGGATCCCTCTCCCACCCCATCCCACCAATCCCGATCCCTCCTCTCTGCCTGGATCTGATCCCCCGGGATTGTCCGGAAGGAGAGGAGGCAGCGGCGTTCCCTCCTCCCCCCACCGGGAGAAAAAGGTGGGAATGTTTTCCCGGTTTTCTTTCTTCCTTCTCCCTACTCGAGGTCCTTGAGGAGCGCGGTCCGGGCGGGAATATTGGAATGTTTTCCCGGTTTTTTTGCCCCTACTTGAGGTTCTTGAGGAGCGCGGTGCGGGCGTTCACCACGGCCTTGAAGGCGTCCTCGCTGCCGGGAGCCACGCATTTGTCGGGATGCAGGAGCACGGCCAGCTTCCGGTACGCCTTGTTCACCTCATCCCTAAGGGAACGGGACAGGAGGGATTAGGGAATATCCAGCGCAAACCCTGGAATTCTGGAATCTCCCGAGCCGGAAAAATCCTCGACGCTCACGGAGTTCCACTTCCGGTGTAGCGAGGTCTGAGACCGGAAGTGCTGCAAAGCACTCTGGGGGCTGTAGTATTTCCGGATTGCTTCCGGACTCTGTTGCGCGTGCTCAGTAAAGTGCTCGAATGGGATTGGTTGAGGAGGTCACGTGCTTACGACGCCTCACGGTTTGAATTGACTGTATAAACTCCCGTTGTTCTTAATAAATTTCATAGTAATAAATTAATAAATTAATTAATTCAGTTGCACGACCCACACGGGACGGGGGCCGTGCCCACAAAGGCTACACCTGGAATTCGGGAATCTCCCGAGAGCGCGGGCAGAGCCAGCATTCCCAGCTTCCGCTACGCCCTGTTCACATCATCCCTAAGGGAACGGGACAGGAGGGATTAGGGAATATCCAGCGCAAACCCTGGAATTCTGGAATCTCCCGAGCCGGAAAAATCCTCGACGCTCACGGAGTTCCACTTCCGGTGTAGCGAGGTCTGAGACCGGAAGTACCGCAAGGCATTCTGGGGGTTGTGGTGCTTCCGGACTCTGTTGCGCGTGCTCAGTAAAGTGCTCGAATGGGATTGGTTGAGGAGGTCACGTGTTTGTGACGTCTCACGGTTCCAATTGGCCATCTAAATTCTCGCTGTTCTTAATGATTTGATATTAATTAATAAACTAATAAATTCATAAATTCAGTTGCACGACCCACACGGGACGGGGGCCGTGCCCACAAAGGCTACACCTGGAATTCGGGAATCTCCCGAGAGCGCGGGCAGAGCCAGCATTCCCAGCGTTCCTTCCAGGATTAGGGAATATCCACTGCAACCCCTGGGATTAGGGAATATCCTGAGCAGGAAGGACCCACAAGGATTATCTACTGCAACCTCTGGAATTAGGGAATATCCACTGAGACTCCTGGGATTAGGGAATCTCCCGAGCCAGAAGGAATCAGGAGGATCATGGAGTTCAACTCCTGGGATTTGGGAATCTTCTGCCAGTGTGGGCAGAGCCAGCATTCCCAGCATTCCCAGGATTCTGTGCCATCCTATGGAACTGTCCCAGCTCTCCACAATTCCCTGGAAGGAAGTTTCAGGAAGTCTCCAGTTCCCAGGGAAGAAGGGACAGGAGGAGAAGGGAACAACCAGGGAGGGAGTTTAACTGGATCTTGGGAACAATTCCCACATGGAAAGGGCTGTCAGGCACTGGAATGAACTTCCCAGGGCAGGGCTGGAGTCGCCATTCCCAGAGGGATCTCAGATCCCTGTGGATGTGGCCCTTGGGGACACGGATCTGTGGAGGCCTTGGCAGTGCTGGGAATGGTTGGATTCCGTGATCTCCAAGGGATTTTCCAACCTGAACCATCCCTAAGGATTCTGTGCCATCCTGGCACTGTCCCAGCTCTCCACAATTCCCTGGGAGGAAGTTCCAGGAGGTCCCCAATTCCCAGGGAATGAGGGACAGGAAGAGAAGGGAACAACCAGGGAGGGAATTTAACAGGATCTTGGGAACAATTCCCACATGGAAACGGTGGTTAAACACTGGAATGGACTTCCCAGGGCAGGGCTGGAGTCGCCATTCCCGGAGGGATTTCCGATCCCTGTGGATGTGGCCCTTGGGGACACGGATCCGTGCTGGCCTTGGCAACGCTGGGAATGCTTGGACTCCATGATCCCAGAGGGATTTTCCAACCTCTCCCATCCCTGAGGATTCCACGTCCACCGTTCCCTCAGCGTCAGCAGGCCGGGATGGATATTCCCAACCCTTCCCAAGGAATTCCCGGCTTTCCCTCACCTGGTGGCTCCGGGTTTGACTCCCAGCATGTCCCAGCTGTCCTTGCTGTTCCGGATCCTCCGGATGGCATCCGCCTGTTCCCGGGTGAAGCCGATGCCGGCGCCGGAATTCGGGCGTTTCCCGCCGTTGTCGCACAGGTCGACGATGGCGGAGTAGAAAGTCTACGGATACAGGGAATCGTGGATCCTGGGAATCGTGGATCCTGGGAATTGTGGATCCCAAAGGATCCCTCGGGTCCCTTCGGGGGCGGGGAATTGGGGGGATGCGGGAGCGGGGAAGGATCCGGAAGGAGCGTCCGGGGCAAGCCTTGGGATTTAGGGAATGGTGGGAGGAGGGAGGATCGTCCAGGGAGAGGTTTGGGATTAGGGAATGTCCAGCTCAACCCCTGGGATTAGGGAATGTCCAGCTCAACCCCTGGGATTAGGGAATGTCCAGCTCAACCCCTGGGATTAGGGAATGTCCAGCTCAACCACTGGGATTAGGGAATATCCAGTTCAACCCCTGGGATTAGGGAATGTCCAGTTCAAGTTTTGGAATTAGGGAATGTCCAGTTCAACCACTGGGATTAGGGAATGTCCAGCACAATCCCTGGGATTAGGGAATGTCCAGTTCAAGGCTTGGAATTAGGGAATATTCAGTTCAACTCCTGGGATTAGGGAATGTCCAGTGCAATCCCTGGGATTAGGGAATATCCAGTTCAACCCCTGGGATTAGGGAATATCCAGTTCAACCCCTGGGATTAGGGAATGTCCAGTTCAAGGCTTGGAATTAGGGAATATCCAGCACAACCCCTGGAATTAGGGAATATCCAGTTCAACCACTGGGATTAGGGAATGTCCAGCTCAACCCCTGGGATTAGGGAATGTCCAGTTCAACCCCTGGGATTAGGGAATGTCCAGTTCAATCCCTGGGATTCTGGAATCTCTAGAGCTGGAAGGATCCACAAGGATCATCCACTGAGACCCCTGGAATTTGGGAATTTCCTGAGCTGGAAGGACCAGATGCTGCAATCTCTGGAATTAGGGAATATCCAGTTCAACCCCTGGGATTAGGGAATGTCCACTTCAACCCGGGGATTAGGGAATATCCACTTCAACCCCTGGGATTAGGAAATGTCCAGTTCAACCCCTGGGATTAGGGAATGTCCAGTTCAAGGTTTGGGATTAGGGAATGTCCAGCTCAACCCCTGGGATTAGGGAATGTCCAGCTCAACCCCTGGGATTAGGGAATGTCCAGATCAACCCCTGGGATTAGGGAATATCCAGTTCAACCCCTGGGATTAGGGAATATCCAGTTCAACCCTTGGGATTAGGGAATGTCCAGTTCAAGGTTTGGGATTAGGGAATGTCCAGCTCAACCCCTGGGATTAGGGAATATCCAGTTCAACCCCTGGGATTAGGGAATGTCCAGCTCAACCCCTGGGATTAGGGAATATCCAGCACAACTCCTGGGATTAGGGAATATCCAGCACAACTCCTGGGATTAGGGAATCTCCTGAGCTGGAAGGACCCACAAGGATCCCGGAGTTCCACCCCTGGCCCTGCCCAGACATCCCAACATTCCCAACATTCCCAGCATTCCCAAACACTCCCTGAACTCTGGCGGCCTGGAATCCATCACCATTCCCTTTGGAGCTGCTCCAACCCCCTCTGGATGAGGAATATTCCCTATTCCCAGATATCTAAGCTTGTCCAGCTCCTTGGATCCATCACCATTCCCTCTGGAGCTGCTCCAACACCTCTGGATGAGGAATATTGGCTATTCCAGCTCCTTGGATCCATCACCATTCCCTTTGGAGCTGTTCCACCCTCTGGATGAGGAATATTGGCTACTCCAGCTCCTTGGATCCATGGCCATTCCCTTTGGAGCTGTTCCACCCTCTGGATGAGGAATATTGGCTATTCCAGCTCCTTGGATCCATGGCCATTCCCTTTGGAGCTGCTCCAACACCTCTGGATGAGGAATATTTCCTATTCCAGCTCCTTGGATCCATGACCATTCCCTCTGGAGTTGCTCCAGTTCCCAACCACCCTCTGGATGAGGAATATTGGATTTTCCAACTCCTTGGATCCATGACCATCCCTTTGGAGCTGCTCCAACACCTCTGGATGAGGAATATTCCCTATTCCCTGATATCCAAGCCTGTCCAGCTCCTTGGATCCATCACCATTCCCTTTGGAGCTGCTCCACCCCCTCTGGATGAGGAATATTGGCTATTCCAGCTCCTTGGATCCATCACCATTCCCTTTGGAGCTGCTCCAACACCTCAGGATGAGGAATATTATCTATTCCAACTCCTTGGATCCATCACCATTCCCTTTGGAGCTGCTCCAACACCTCTGGATGAGGAATATTGGCTATTCCAGCTCCTTGGATCCATGGCCATTCCCTTTGGAGCTGCTCCACCCCCTCTGGATGAGGAATATTCCCTATTCCCTGATATCCAAGCCTGTCCAGCTCCTTGGATCCATCACCATTCCCTTTGGAGCTGTTCCAACACCTCTGGATGAGGAATATTTCCAAATCCAGCTCCTTGGATCCATCACCATTCCCTTTGGAGCTGCTCCAACACCTCTGGATGAGGAATATTGGCTATTCCAGCTCCTTGGATCCATCACCATTCCCTTTGGAGCTGCTCCACCCCCTCTGGATGAGGAATATTCCCTATTCCCTGATATCCAAGCCTGTCCAGCTCCTTGGATCCATCACCATTCCCTTTGGAGCTGCTCCAACACCTCTGGATGAGGAATATTGGCTATTCCAGCTCCTTGGATCCATGGCCATTCCCTTTGGAGCTGCTCCACCCCCTCTGGATGAGGAATATTC